TTGCACACTCTTGGCATTCTCTCAACCAGCTTCACCTGGAATGCTTTTCCAACAGTCTTGAAGGAGTTCCCACATATGCTGAGCACTTGTTGGCTGCTTTTCCTTCACTTTGCGGTCCAACTCATCCTAAACCATCGCAATTGGGTTGAGGTCAGGGGATTCTGGAGGCCAGGTCATCTGATGCAGCACTCCATCATTCTCCTTCTTGGTAAAATAGCCCTTACACAGCCTGGAAGGTGTGTTGGGTCATTGTCTTGTTAAAAAACAAATGATAGTCCCACTAAGCCCAAACCAGATGGGATGGCGTATCGCTGCAGAATTCTATGGTAGCCATGCTGGTTTAGTGTGTCGTAAATTCTAAATAAATCACAGACAGTGTCACCAGCAAAGCACCCCCACACCATAACACCTCCTCCATGCCTTACGGTGTGAAATACACATGCGGAGATCATCCATTCACCCACACCACGTCTCACAAAGACACGGCGGTTGGAACCAAAAATCTCAAATTTGGACTCCAGACCAAAGGACACATTTCCACCGGTCTAATGTCCATTGCTCGTGTTTCTTGGCCCAAGCAAGTGTCTTCTTATTATTGGTGTCCTTTAGTAGTGATTTATTTGCAGCAATTCGACCATGAAGGCCTGATTCACACAGTCTCCTCTGAACAGTTGATGTTGAGATGTGTCTGTTACTTGAACTCTGTGAAGCATTTATTTGGGCTGCAATTTCTGAGGCTGGTAACTCTAATGAACTTATCCTCTGCAGCAGAGGTAACTCTGGGTCTTCCATTCCTGTGGCGGTCCTCATGAGAGCCAGTTTCATCATGGTCTTTGCGACTGCACTTGAAACTTTAAAAGTTCTTGAAATGTTCCTTATTGGACTGACCTTCATGTCTTAAAGTAATGATGGACTGTCGTTATTTGAGCTGTTCTTGCCATAATATGGACTTGGTCTTTTACCAAATAGAGCTATCTTCTGTATACACCCCCACCTTGTCACAACACAACTGATTGGCTCAAACGCATTAAGAAGGAAAGAAATTCCACAAATTAACTTTTAAGAAGGCACACCTGTTAATTGAAATGCATTCCAGGTGACTACCTCATGAAGCTGGTTGAGAGAATGCCAAGAGTGTGCAAAGCTGTCATCAAGGCAAAGGGTGGCTATTTGAAGACTCTCAAATATAAAGTATATTTTGATTTGTTTAACACTTTCTTGGTTACTACATGATTCCATATGTGTTATTTCATAGTTTTGATGTCTTCACTATTATTCTACAATATAGAAAACAGTACAAATAAAGAAAAACCCTTGAATGACTAGGTGTGTCCAAACTTTTGACTGGTAGTGTATCTCATCTGCGTGCTCGTCGTTCTCAACTGGGTCTTGACCTGACTGCAGTTCGGCATTGTAAACCGACTTCAGTGGGCAAATGCTGACCTTTGATGGCCACTGGCACGCTGGAGAAGTGTGCTCTTCATGGATTAATCTCGGTTTCAACTGTACCGGGCAGATGGCTGACAGTGTGTATGGTGTTGTGTTGTCGAGCGGTTTGCTGATGTCAATGTTGTGAACATTGAGTGCCCCATGGTGGCGGTGGGGTTATGGTGTGGGCAGGCATAAGCTACGGACAACGAACACAATTGCATTTTATCGATCACCTCATTCTTGAGAATGATAATGCACTGCCCCATGTCGCAAGGATCTGTACAGAATTCCTGCAAGCTGAAAATGTCCCAGTTCTTCCATGGCCTTCATACTCACCAGAAATGTCACCCATTGCGTATGTTTGGGATGCTCTGGATCGACGTGTACGACAGCGTGTTCCAGTTCCCACCAATATCCAGCAACTTTGCACAGCCATTGAAGAGGAGTGGGACAACATTCCACAGGCCACAATCAACAGCCTGATCAACTCTATGCAAAGGAGATGTGTCGCGATGCATGAGGCAAATGGTGGTCACACCAGATACTGACTGGTTTTCTGGTCCACACCCCTAACTTTTTTTGAAAGGTATCTGTATTCCCAGTCATGTGAAATCCATAGAATAGGACCTAATGAATTTATTTCAATTGACTGATTTCCTTATATGAACTGTAACAGTAACATCTTTGAAATTGTTGCATGTTGCATATATATTTTTGTTCAGTGTACATCGTTTTCAAATTGTGGTGCAACATCTACTGACTATGAATAGTACTGCCTTAGGGTGCAATTCTTTTTATATGCCAAGCTTCATTAACTGGACATAAACCACTATTGCACCATGCGGGGTAATATTCGTTATATTGTTTGTGTGACCAATGGGACCAATAGTTTTTGCTTTGTCTTAATACAAACTTTTACGGCTTCATGATTAGACATATTTTATTACATGCAGCCCCAAACAAACAGTCAATATTTTCAAAACACACAGCAACAATCGAGAGGTACAATATATATACAAAAGTATGTGGACACCCCTTCAAATTAGTGGATTCGGCTATTTCAGCCACACCCGTTGCTGACAGGTGGATAAAATTGAGCACACTACCATGCAATCTCCATAGACAAACATTGGCAGTAGAATGGCTTACTGAAGGGCTCAGTGACTTTCAACGTGGACCGTCATAGGATGCCACCTTTCCAACAAGTCAGTTCATCAAATTTCTGCCCTGCTAGAGCTGCCCCGGTCAACTGTAAGTGCTGTTATTGTGAAGTGGAAACGTCTAGGAGCAACAACAGCTCAGCCGCGAAGTGGTAGGCCACACAAGCGCACAGATCGGGACCGCCGAGTGCTGAATCGCGTAGCACGTAAAAATCATCAGCCCTCGGTTGCAACACTCACTACCGAGTTCCAAACTGCCTCTGGAAGCAACCTCAGCATAATAACTGTTCGTCGGGAGCTTCATGAAATGGGTTTCCATGGCTGGCCAGCCGCACACAAGCCTAAGATCACCATGCGCAATGCCAAGCATCGGCTGGAGTGGTGTAAACTCTCCGCCAATGGACTCTGGAGCACTGGAAACGCGTTCTCTGGAGTGATGAATCACACTTCACCATCTGGCAGTCCGACGGACGAATCTGGGTTTGGCGGATGCCAGGAGAACGCTACCTGCCCGAATGCATAGTGCCAACAAAAGTTTGGTGGAGGAGGAATAATGGTCTGGGGCTGTTTTTCATGGTTCGGGCTAGGCCCCTTAGTTCCAGTGAAGGGAAATCTTAACGCTACAGCATTCAATGACATTCTAGATGATTCTGTGCTTCCAATTTGGGGAAGGCCCTTTCCTGTTTCAGCATGACAATGCCCCCGTGTACAAAGCGAGGTCCATACAGAAATCGTTTGTCGAGATCGGTGTGGAAGAAATTGACTGGCCTGCACAGAGCCCTGACCTCAACCCCATCGAATACCTTTGAGATTAATTGGAAAGCAGACTGCGAGCCAGGCTTAATCGGCCAACATCACTAATGCTCTTGTGGCTGAATGGTCCCCGCAGCAATGTTCCAACATCTAGTGGAAAGCCTTCCCAGAAGAGTGAAGGCTGTTATAGCAGCAAAGGGGGGACCAACTCTATATTAATACCCATGATTTTGGAATGAGATATTCGGTGAGCAGGTGTCCACATACTTTTCGTCATGTAGTGTATGTTTGACCTCGAAACTTGAAAAATACAACTTCTCACAAGTAAAGCCAGCCACCACAATCATTATAAGCATATACAGATCACAATTAAATTATGAAATTTCCCAAATGGCACCCTATCCCCTATGCACTATAAAGGGAATAGGGTGACATTTAAGACTCACAATAGATCTCTTCTCCGACAGCCAAATGCAGCAGAATAGGTTGACTGTGGGGGAATTGCTTTGCTCCCACTGTTGATACATCTTTTAAAACACAAACACCTGTTTTCCATGCAGCAAGATGGATGCAATTCCAAAGCCTGAGGAAAATAATATTACCTGAGTAAAACAACACAAGTTTATGAGTAAATATGAGAGCAAAGTACAATGCCTTGTAAAAGATAACAAGGACCAAGGAAAAAGTTTATCAAATTATTCAGAACAATGAAACCACCTACAAAGAAAACATGCTGAGCATGTTTTATATGGAAACACAATTAATACAGTATATCAAACAATATTTTGATGAATGGACAATGCATGACATCAGCGAAACTTCTAAATACGTATTCCAGATAACCAATCTTTGTTTGTTTGATCATTGTTAGGCACTTATGGCTGATGAATATCCAATACAAACACATCAAACATGAGAAGAGGAGTTCGGAAAGTTGGCAAGACAGCACAAACAGATCTGGTACCAGGCTAATTTTCATATCATAATATGGATTTTTAAATGATTTTGACGATCAAACACATTAGATGCAATATAAATAATTGGAAGATATTTTATGTTAGCTTATCGCAATTGCTGGAAGTCTCCGGGTACAGTAGCCAGCACATCAAACATGAGAAGAGGAGTTGGCCATAGTTGGCAAGACAGCACAAACAGTTCTGCTACCAGGCTAATTGGATTTTGAAATGATAGTGACGATCAAACACATTAAATGTAATATTAATAATTGGAATACTCTCTTGGAATTGTTTTGGCAGATTCTTTCATCATTGGACACCAATATGATGGAAATATTAAACATAAATAAAACAATACATATATTTTCATGAACATATATTTTCTCTCAAATATGTAAACAGTCAGCAAGTAACTTTACAGCATGTTTACTCTAACACTTCTGATTTCTTACACTGACCCATAGCTGGTGAATGCATGGTCTGTATCCACCCACATGGAAACAACTCTGAGAAGCTTCTGACATGTTTAGAAGTTATCACAACAAAATCAATCCAACTACACAATGCTCACAACAACCTCACTAACAAAATCGGCAAAACAGCAAATAAAAAATGGTAGTAAGTAAACCGTTAGTCAGTTAGCATAGTATGGTTGGATATGTCGGGATGGAGGACGGTCCATGCGATGCGATCAGCCTCAGACACTGTTGGGGTTGTAGCAGAGCATGTTGAGCTGCAGGTTCTCATCCCAGTGTCGGAGGATGATAAAGAGCTGGTTGGCAGCAGACTTGACCGAGGCTAAGTCCTTTCCTTCAGGGATGCTCTGGGCATTGAGCCACATGCTAGCCTTAGCCGCTATCAGCTCCCACTCTATGAAGTAGCTGGCCGAGCTGTGCTCCAGCCAGGCCAGGGCTACAGCTGTGGCCCACACCATGCCCTCCGTATCCAGCCTCTTACCGGACCCCAGGCCACCAGGGGGCGCTGCTGGGGGGGTTTCCACACTCTCCGACTCCGAGTCCCTTCTGCTGTCAGTCAGGGAGTGAGGGGAGAGAGGGGGCTCAGCGTAGGTGGTAGGGGTGGAGGGGCCGCCCAGGAAGAAAAGAGAAGATCCAGACCCACCCTCTGTCCAGAGACTCCTGGCCAGGTGTGAGGAGCTGTGGCCCGCCTGGCTGTAGCTGCTGACAGCCTGGTGGTGGCCTGCCAGGCTGGTCTCTGTAACATTAGCTGAGCTCTCAAATGGAGATGGAGAGGTGGACCTGTGGCTGTGGTCTGCAGCGCTGCTGTCTGAGCAGCGGCTGGCTGAGTGGGAGACGTGGTGACTCAGACTGACCCGGTGGCTGGTGAAGGGAGATGTCCACTTCAGCTTGTCCATGTGCACATTGATGGCCTCACACAGAGCGCTGTCCAGGCAGAACGCACCACACGCCAACTGTAAGGACACCTGTACCAGAGATCGGGAGATAAGTAAGGATGTGGGGTGATAAAATATACACATTTATATTTTCAAAAACGTGGCATTTTGTCAACGCTGAATTATGTACCAGAGGAATGTAGTCTTTTTTTTCATTTTCGCTCTCCCCCACAGAGTTGCTGGTTTTGCTGTGTGAGCGAAACATGAAGCCCTTGGCAGCCCGGGTCAGGAGTCTTGTCCGGCTGAGAGTCAGCCTGTAGAGGACAGGAGAGGGATGCAGCATCTTAAGTTCAACTTCAAGTTTCATTCATTGCCATTTGTAAGCACAAGTACATACATTGGAATTTCTCAGTGACAATACGGAGCATACGCAGCCCTTATTTCCTGCTCCTAGCATAACCCTGCCATTCTTAGCACATACCTATAATTCATCATAATAACAACTGAACTCAATAAACACTAAATGCCTCTTCCATTTAAGTTTTTTCATGACAAAGAAAAAAAGGAAACTCCAGGATATGTGGTCGAAGCGTATTTTAAGATCCTTCCATCAGTAGAACTCATAGCATCCTTAAGAATGGACCTCAAGGGCGCTGTGTGACACAGTGAAGTTGTTTTCATTTTAAGAAAGGAGGAGAAAGGGACATTTTTCCTACACTGAGAAATGCACTAATGATGCATAGCGGAAAAAGGCAACTGAGTGGTAATGTGTGCCTGAGAGATAAGACTAGGTGAGATGGAGAAAGGAGATATATACGTCACAAAACTCTGTTAGGATTAAAAAACTATGTACTCGAAGTAGGGCTGTCCCCGACTAAAAATAAACTTGGTTGACCCAAAGTCGTCTGTTCTTTCGACCAATCGATTGGTCGAAATGTTAAAACGTGTATTTTTCCATATATAGACACACCCTACAGTGCATTCGGAAAGTATTCAGACCCCTTCACTTTTTCCACATTTTGTTACGTTACAGCCTTATTTTAAAATGGATTAAATGGATGTTTTTTCTCATCAATCTACACATAATACCCCATAATGACAAAGCGAAAACAGGTTTTCTGAAATGTTAGCAATTTTATTACAAATAAAAAACAGAAATACGTTATTTACATAAGTATTCAGACCCTTTGCTATGGGACTCGAAATTGAGCTCAGGTGCATCCTGTTTCCATTGATCATCCTTGAGATGTTTCTACAACTTGATTGGAGTCCACCTGGGTTAAATTCAATTGATTGGACATGAGTTGGAAAGGCACACACTTGTCTATATAAGGTCTCACAGTTGACAGTGCATGTCAGAGCAAAAACCAAGCCATGAGGTCGAAGGAATTGTCCGTAGAGCTCAGAGACAGGATTGTGTCGAGGCACAGATCTGGGGAAGGGTACCAAAAAATGTCTGCAGCATTGAAGGTCCGCAAGAACACAGTGGCCTCCATCATTCTTAAATGGAAGAAGTTTGGAACCACCAAGACTCTTCCTAGAGCTGGCCGCCCAGCCAAACTGAGCAAACGGGGGAGAAGGGCCTTGCTCAGTGAGGTGACCAAGAACTCGATGGTCACTTTGACAGAGCTCCAGAGTTCCTCTGAGGAGATGGGAGAACGTTCTAGAAGGAAAAACCATCTCGGCAGCACTCCACCAATCAGGCCATGATGGTAGAGTGGCCAGACGGATGCCACTCCTCAGTAAAAGGCACATGACAGCCCGCTTGGAGTTTGCCAAAAGGCACCTACAGGACTCTCAGACCATGAGAAACAAGATTCTCTGTTCTGATGAAACCAAGATTGAACTCTTTGGCCTGAATGCCAAGTGTCACGTCTGGAGGAAACATGGCACTATCCCTACGGTGAAGCATGGTAGTGGCAGCATCATGCTGTGGGGATGTTTTTCAGCGGCAGGGACTATGAGACTAGTCAGGATCGAGGGAAAGATGAATGGAGCAAAGTACAGAGAGATCCTTGATGAAAACCTGTTCCAGAGCGCTCAGGCCCTCAGACTGGGGCGAAGGTTCACCTTCCAACAGGACAACGGCCCTAAGCACACAGCCAAGACAACGCAGGAGTGGCTTCGGGTCAAGCCTCTGAATGTCCTTGAGTGGCGCAGCCAGAACCCGGACTTGAACCCGATTGAACATCTCTGAAGAGACCTGAAAATAGCTGTGCAGCGACGCTCCCCATCCAACCTGACAGTGCTTGAGAGAATCTGCAGAGAAGAATGGGAGAAACTCCCCAAATACAGGTGTGCCAAGCTTGTAGGGTCACACCTAAGAAAACTCTAGGCTGTAATCTCTGCCAAAGGTGCTTCAACAAAGTACTGAGTAAAGGGTCTGAATACTTACGTAAATGTTATATTTCAGTTTTTTATTTGTAATAAATTAGAAACTTTTTCTAAAAACCTGTTTTTGCTTTGTCATTATTGGGTATTGTGTGTTGATTCATGAGGGAAAAAAACTATTTAATCAATTTTAGAATAAGGCTGTAATGTAACAAAATGTGGAAAAAGTCAAGGGGTCTGAATACTTTCCGAATGCACTGTATGTTTGAATAGCATCAACTATATGTAGGCTACTGAGCTTGTCTGAAACTTTAAACACTACGATTAAAAATGAAGAAACACAAATTACTAAAGAGGGAGCCAGAGATCATTATAACCTAACCAGAGCCAGAGATCAATATAACCTAACCAGAAGAAAAAACCTGTTCCCGTCCCTGTTCCTCCCGCTGCTGCTGGCCTTCGCAGATTATGCCTCTGCCATTAAACTCCTGAAGTTGCCAGTAATCGGCTACACCAGCAGTCGGCAACCTTTTCCATTTGGAGTGCCAAGTTATCGTACCATGTCTACTCATTTGCGTGCCAGTTATCATATGCACATTTTCATGGAAGAGTTGTTTTCATTCATAATAAAGTCTTCATATATCAAAATCAATGTTATGTGATTAATCAAAAATCGATCTATACTGAAAAAAAAATATGCAACATGCAACAATTTCAATGATTTTACAGTTACAGTTCATTTAAGGAAATCAGTCAATTGAAATAAATAAATTAGGCCCTAATCTATGGATTTCACATGACTGGGCAGGGGCGCAGCCATGGGTGGGCCTGGGTGGGAGGCCCACCCACTCGGGAGCCAGGCCCAGGCAATCAAAATGAGTTTTTCCCCACAAAAGGGCTTTATCAGAGACAGAAATACTCCTCAGTTTCATCAGTTGTCCAGGTGGCTGGTCTCATACGATCCCGTAGGTGAAGAAGCCGGATGTGGAGGTCCTGGGCTGGCGTGGTTACACGTGGTCTGCGGTTGTGAGGCCGGTTGGAAGTACTGCCAAATTCTCTAAAATGACAAATTCTCTAAAATGATGATAGAGAAATGAACATTCAATTCTCTGCCAACAGCTCTTGTGAACATTCATGCAGTCAGCATGCCTATTGCACATGCCCTCAGAACTTGAGACATCTGTGGCATTGTGTTGTGTGACAAAACTGCACATTTTAGAGAGGCCTTTTATTGTCCCCAGCACAAGGTGCACCTGTGTAATGATCATGCTGTTTAATCAGCTTCTTGATATGCCACACCTGTCAGGTGGATGGATTATCTTGGCAAAGGAGAAATGCTCACTAACAGGGATATAAACAAATTTGTGCACAACATTTTAGAGTAATAAGCTTTTTGTGCGTATGGAACATTTCTGGGATCTTTTATTTCAGCTCATGAAACATGGAACCAACCCTTTACATGTTGCATTTATATTTTTGTGAAAAAATGATACAAATCTAAAAGTAACGTCTATTGTCATTGCCAATATGTAAAAATAGCCTACATAAAGCCAACCAATAAAAACATTGCAGCCCGCAGTTGGAAAATATCCTGATAGAAATAAATATCCTATGAATCACATTGGCTACGCTTGGCCTGTCTACAAGGAACTTGAAACATTGTATCAACAATTAACTTGGTCCGGCCTCATGCTAGCAAACTTGCAACATTGTATAAAATATTCTGGGCCCTCAGTGTTTCCTGCACAGTGAGCTCCGGACAGACAGACACAGCTGTAGGCTATTTGTGCAAGGGATAAGAAGTAATCAGGTAGGCCTATTTTATGACGATTCCACCGGATCAGAGCATTACATTTTTTTCCCTTTCATGCTGAGTGGTTATCAAAGGGGAGAGAGCTGGAAAGATTTTTCAAATAGGCTACGTTGAGGAATTAGTTCCACAGTGATGATGAGTTAAGACAATCAGAAATAGTATCAGATCCCAAAAAGGGCACATTTATAGGCCTACATTTGCGCGCAGGCCAGGTAGCCTAGGCCTACTTCTATTCTCAAATGACTGCCTTGCCTGGTTCACCAACTACTTCTCAGATAGAGTTCAATGTGTCAAATCGGAGGGCCTGTTGTCTGGACCTATGGCAGTCTCTATGGGGGTGCCACAGGGTTCAATTCTTGGGCCGACTCTTTTCTCTGTGTATATCAATGATGTCGCTCTTGCTGCTGGTGACTCTCAGATCCACCTCTACGCAGACGACACCATTTTGTATACATTTGGCCCTTCATTGGACACTGTGTTAACAAACCTCCAAACGAGCTTCAATGCCATACAACACTCCTTCAGTAGCCTCCAACTGCTCTTAAACACTAGTAAAACTAAATGCATGCTCTTCGATCGAACGCTGCTGGCTCCCGCCCACCCGACTAGAATCACTACTCTCGACGGGTCTGACCTAGAGTATGTGGACAACTACAAATACCTAGGTGTCTGGTTAGACTGTAAACTCTCCTTCCAGACTCACATTAAGAATCTCCAATCCAAAGTTAAATCCAGAATCGGCTTCCTATTTCGCAACAAAGCCTCCTTCACTCATGCTGCCAAACATGCCCTCGTAAAACTGACTATCCTACCGATCCTTGACTTCGGCGATGTCATTTACAAAATAGCCTCCAACACTCTACTCAGCAAATTGGATGTAGTCTATCACAGTGCCATCCGTTTTGTCTCCAAAGCCCCATACACTACCCACCACTGTGACCTGTACGCTTTTGTTGGCTGGTCCTCATTACATGTTCGTCGTCAAACCCACTGGCTCCAGGCCATCTATAAATCACTGCTAGGCAAATCCCCGCCTTATCTTAGCTCATTGGTCACCATAGCAACACCCACCCGTAGTATGCGCTCCAGCAGGTATATCTCACTTGTCATCCCCAAAGCCAACACCTCCTTTGGCCGCCATTCCTTCCAGTTCTCTGCTGCCAATGACTGGAACGAATTGCAAAAATCTCTGAAGCTGGAGACTCTTATCTCCCTCACTAACTTTAAGCATCAGTTGTCAGAGCACCTTACCGATCACTGCACCTGTACACAGCCCATCTGAAATTAGCCCACCCAACTACCTCATCCCTATATTGTTATTTATTTTGCTCATTTGCACCCCAGTATCTCTATTTGCACATAATCTCTTGCACATCTATCATTCCAGTGTTAATACTAATTGTAATTATTTTGCACTATAGCCTATTTATTGCCTTACCTCCATAACTTGCTACATTTGCACACACTGTATATATATTTTCTGTTGTATTTTTTGACTTCATGTTTTGTTTTACCCCATATGTAACTCTGTGTTGCTATTTTTATCGCACTGCTTTGCTTTATCTTGGCCAGGTCGCAGTTGTAAATGAGAACTTGTTCTCAACTGGCTTACCTGGTTAAATAAAGGTGGGAAAAAAAAATATATTTTTAAAAAATGCGTAATCAGGTGCGTGTCCTTACTCGAGATTGACAGGAGTGCTCCAAACAAAAAACAATGAATAAATTGACAACTCGTAAATGGAATGAAATAAACAAAAACTGGTGTAGCGTAGGTTGTGCGCTCTGCAAACAACATGTCCACTCCTACAATGACAACAGTAAGACTGTAATAATAATGACAGAAATGACTGTAACCAAACAAACATTGTAGATGAGAAATTATGGGAATTAACGGTAGGCTAAATGTACTACTGGTGATTCTGGTGTGCCATCCCTGTAGCCTCCACAATGGATTAGTCCACTCAGACGGGCGTGAATCAGACCGGTGTCTCGTGTGCCATACATGTTTTCAATAGATTTGCCACTGCTCTACTAAAACAATCTTGTTCGACCAAAAGCCTATCGACCAAACAATCAACCAGTCGATTAAATGGGGTCAGCCCTAACTTGAAGTCCCTAGAACTATCAGGTGCCCTCTCCAGAATATAATATGCCATTTATAGCGCAATATAGAGTAACAGGAAGTGAAAATGATATTTAGGTCACTTAGTAAAATTACAGTACATCATACAAACCATCATTATAACTGCAAAAGTGTATTATGCATGCCGATTACACAAAACAATGTAACTCAGTGAATTAAAAAACCCTCTGCTGTCCCCATTTTCTATTATCAGTTGGCCATGAGACAGCACTAGCGGTACAGTTAGTATGTTATTCTCCAGCCTGGCCCTCTCCATCACCCACCTGGCTGAGAAGAGGCTCTCCACCAACTTCTGTGATTGGTCTGAGGTCACAGACGGGCTCCTCTGGGGGGCTGAGAGAGACAGAGAGAGAAAGAGAACGAGATAAATAAAGAGATTGAGAGAGAAAGAGACAGTCAGGGCACGCTAGTTTTCCATTTAGCTCTCTCTCCTGTCTCACCTGAGCATCACGACTACACTCCACATGACACCGCCACACAGTACACAGATAAGACACCCACAGGAGGTTGGAAGCCACAGCAGAGGACAAACACAATCTAGCAGCTGTGGGGTGTGTTTGTGTGTGTGTGTGTGTGTGTGTGTGTGTTTGTGTGTGCGTGTTTGCATGCGTGTTTAGACGTTATTAATGTAGACCATAAGAAAACAAATGGGCTTTTTAATGAAGACATTCATATTATTTGCTCGATTTGGGAGCTAGTGATTTTCCTTGAAAGCAAAACAGGACATATAAAAACTCACCATCTGTAAAGCTGCATCTTTCCCAGCCAGAGGATGAGGGGGTGCTGCATGGAGAGACACCATCTTCCACACCTAAAACCCACCAAAAAGATAGGTCAATGTCATTTGAAAAGTATCACTGTGGACATCATGAATAGTATACTATACATGTAAAACATCCAAAGCATATTAAGAGTTTATTTCCAAAACACTATTTCCACCAATTTGTTAATTATTTTCACTAGAAATGATTGCTTATGGGTACCTTCATGTGTGTGTAAAATATTACAGTTCTCAGATTTTTTATGAATAGATGTTAGATATGTATTAAAATTAGTTTTTTTTGCAAAACGCTATATATCCATTGTTAAGCTGGAATGGACTGTTTGTATACTGTATATTTGACTGTGATATGTGGTTGTCTCACCTAGCTATCTTAAGATGAATGCACTCTGTAAGTCGCTCTGTATAAGCGCATCTGCTAAATGACTAAAATGTAAAATGTAAATGTTTTACATACAGATCTCACATTACTGTATCGATTCATTTTTTTAAAGCGTTTTTTCAACAAAAAATTATTGATCACAAATGTATCCTTTGTACAGTTCTTTATAAAAAATGTAGTTATTTCTGATTACATTTGACTGTGTAAAACCTAGCAGTACTACTTATTTTTCTGAGAGTGAGGTGGATATATAGCGTTTTGCCAAAAAAAAATGATTATTTGTCTCTCTGAAATGAAACCATCAATTGATAGATTTCAAACAAATACATGTCTGTCATTGCACAACCCATTGCCATGATTAGATAGTCAAAAAACACACAACCTCTTTCATAACTTCTCTAAATAATAAAATATAATTTACCAACATTTCTGAAAATGGATATATAGCGTTTTGGAATGAAACTTTTCATATGGAAATGACTAAAACCTGTCAGATCTGTCTGTTTGGCAGGCGTATGACCTCTTCAAACTATCACCTGTCACACATTTTCACACATTCTTCCTCTCACATACAAATGTTGACTATGTAGTACGGTGAAGGTCTTACTGGCGGGCAGATGTTCGTCCTCAGCCTCCTGTGACATGCAGCCAGACTGGGAGCGGCCCAGTCCGATGGAGTAACCCCGGTTCTTCCTGCTCCCTGAGCGAGAGCTTGAGTGAGATCCCCGCTTCAGACCCTCACCTGAAACACCCAACAGATAAACAGAGACACACTGTATTTCTTAACCAAAAGGGTGACAGAAGTATTAGAACTGTACCCATTTGTGGTATTAAAGGACAAAGTTACCTTGATTTTAATAAAGGTCTGAAGAAGTGTCATGACAATGGATAAAATAAGTATTAAAAAACTCCCCGCCATTCAATGTGAACGTAGTGGGGGAAAAAAGTATTTAGTCAGCCACCAATTGTGCAAGTTCTCCCACTTAAAAAGATGAGAGAGGCCTGTAATTTTCATCATAGGTACACGTCAACTATGACAGACAAAATGAGAAAAAAAATCCAGAAAATCACATTGTAGGATTTTTAATGAATTTATTTGCAAATTATGGTGGAAAATAAGTATTTGGTCAATAACAAAAGTTTCTCAATACTTTGTTATATACTCTTTGTTGGCAATGACACAGGTCAAACGTTTTCTGTAAGTCTTCACAAGGTTTTCACACACTGTTGCTGGTATTTTGGCCCATTCCTCCATGCAGATCTCCTCTAGAGCAGTGATGTTTTGGGGCTGTCGCTGGGCAACACGGACATTCAACTCCCTCCAAAGATTTTCTATGGGGTTGAGATCTGGAGACTGGCTAGGCCACTCCAGGACCTTGAAATGCTTCTTACGAAGCCACTCCTTCGTTGCCCGGGCGGTGTGTTTGGGATCATTGTCATGCTGAAAGACCCAGCCACGTTTCATCTTCAATGCCCTTGCTGATGGAAGGAGGTTTTCACTCAAAATCTCACGATACATGGCCCCATTCATTCTTTCCTTTACACGGATCAGTCGTCCTGGTCCCTTTGCAGAAAAACAGCCCCAAAGCATGATGTTTCCACCCCCATGCTTCACAGTAGGTATGGTGTTCTTTGGATGCAACTCAGCATTCTTTGTCCTCCAAACACGACGAGTTGAGTTTTTACCAAAAAGTTCTATTTTGGTTTCATCTGACCATATGACATTCTCCCAATCCTCTTCTGGATCATCCAAATGCACTCTAGCAAACTTCAGACGGGCCTGGACATGTACTGGCTTAAGCAGGGGGACACGTCTGGCACTGCAGGATTTGAGTCCCTGGCGGCGTAGTGTGTTACTGATGGTAGGCTTTGTTACTTTGGTCCCAGCTCTCTGCAGGTCATTCACTAGGTCCCCCCGTGTGGTTCTGGGATTTTTGCTCACCGTTCTTGTGATCATTTTGACCCCACGGGGTGAGATCTTGCGTGGAGCCCCAGATCGAGGGAGATTATCAGTGGTCTTGTATGTCTTCCATTTCCTAATAATTGCTCCCACAGTTGATTTCTTCAAACCAAGCTGCTTACCTATTGCAGATTCAGTCTTCCCAGCCTGGTGCAGGTCTACAATTTTGTTTCTGGTGTCCTTTGACAGCTCTTTGGTCTTGGCCATAGTTGAGTTTGGAGTGTGACTGTTTGAGGTTGTGGACAGGTGTCTTTTATACTGATAACAAGTTCAAACAGGTGCCATTAATACAGGTAACGAGTGGAGGACAGAGGAGCCTCTTAAAGAAGAACTTACAGGTCTGTGAGAGCCAGAAATCTTGCTTGTTTGTAGGTGACCAAATACTTATTTTCCACCATAATTTGCAAATAAATTCATAAAAAATCCTACAATGTGATTTTCTGGAGAAAAAAATTCTCAATTTGTCTGTCATAGTTGACGTGTACCTATGATGAAAATTACAGGCCTCTCTCATCTTTTTAAGTGGGAGAACTTGCACAATTGGTGGCTGACTAAACACTTTTTTCCCCCACTGTATGCATACCATGAACAGGAGTGTCTCACCTGGGTTGATGTAGTCGATTGAGGTCTGTAGGTATTCATTAGTGTCCAGATCAACAGGGACAAATGCAGTGTATTTACTGAGAATGTTACAGGCCTTGCTGGTGTGAATGGCATACAACTGGTACCTTCTGCCAGAACCTGCAAAATAACATGTTGTCACGTCATCATCTTTCATTTACATAAATTCCAATATAAAACGGATTTGAAGGAGTAAACTATTAAACTATTACCAAAACAAAAAAAATAAAGACACCAATCACTCCAAAGGATACCATTTGTGACTAAATTTAGGAAGGTGACTTTACGTCAAATTTTCGAGATTAACTTTTTTTTACAGACTCAGAGCTTCAAAATAGTGTATCATACACTGCAGTTAGGGGAAACATGGGAAAGTGATGCTTCTTAAAAATGTGATAAACTTGTTATTCAACTTTGGAGACAAGTAGGAGAAAAATGCCATTAAATGATTTTCACACTTTCTAGAGAGCTCTTCTTTGTTTCCTACCATTTAGCATCGTTCACAACTTCTTAAGCCTTAGCCCCACCCATCTCTTTACGAATTCACATGTAAACACATGAGTCAGCATGACATTGTCCTCCAGAAGGTAGTCTCTCCATTACTCAGCCAATCATGGATCCTGCCTTTATCCCTATATAGCTCAGTGCTTTCTCCTTGGCTAAACTCATAATTACATTTTTTATTCATATTTACGGATACCATTCAAGTTCATAATTAAGGCATATGGAAGTTCACATGTTCAAGAAGGCTTTTCTGCAACAACAACAAAATCGCATCAAACGCCCCGATCCTGAATCCAGTCACATTTGAGCAATGAGATTTTACCCATGTCTTACGTACCATGCTCAATTTCACACTCCTTATCTGCCATGTGCTCAAAGTCCTGAATAATGGAACGTCCAGCCAGATGATGGAATGTTTCATTCCACAGTTCCTCGTGAACTTTCTCTTCCCGCTCTCTGCCCTTCAGGTAGGGATTTATATCAAAGGTCACCTCCCACTTGACTGGCTTCCCGCAGAGCAGGCCCGACACCACGGCCTTACAGTCCCCCTTCACCACCTCCTGACTGGCTGGGGTGGTGTTCAGGTCTGGCGTGGCTGGAGGCTCCTGGGGGGTTTCTATCTCACACAGCTGATTGGGGTAGCAGTCTGGTAACACAACAATGAGGAGAAGTTAGATGGCTTATCTGGGATATCAGTTATTGAATAGATTGGTGTGTCTACCATTGCTCAATGTTAGTGTGAGGTCTGTGGTTGTGGACCCACCCGCGTCGCCTAAGCTGCCGACAGAAGGGTCAGTGGAAGAGGAGCCGTCCTCCCCACCGGTGCTCCAGGTTCCTCCTGGGGAATGCTCTGGGTCTGCCCCTTGGGGAGCCCCCTCCTGATGGGAGGAGGGCCTGTGAGAAGCCCCGTTGGCAGGGCGCCCCCTGGAAGCCATGGCAGACGTGGCACACAGACTCACCAGCTGTGGCTGTCAGGGGTTAGACATAAAGATACATGTTTAGCAAAATACTATGACCAAATATGTTGTTATTAAACCTTATTGCATTGTTAATTTATGTCCAGAATAATAGCCATATATCCATTGACTTACTCCCCTCGACTGTGAACCGACCACTAATTGCGATCGAGCCCATTCAGCCAAGCAGCTCACTCAAGTGTTAATAAGGACCATTACAGTGATGGCATTGTGCATGCAGTAATGATAGACTCAGTCATCAGAGTATGTTTTTGCCCATTCCACTGATTACACTAAATCAAGGAAAACGGCAGATACATTCTGATTATCTTTTATGGTATGGCTTACACCACAATTTAAATTAGTATAAAATTAGTATAAAATGTTTTCTTAGATTTATTTATATTTATATGTTGATGATGATCATAAAACCTGTTTTGTCTTAATAAGCAGATCAATAATTTCAGTACCCAGAACCAAATCTTGCATGCACTGGTAACTATCACAGTCTGCAGATCAATGTCAAATTCCAAGTCAATCATTTGTACAAGGGCAGAAACCATGGAGAGACAGGTGAGCCTTGCCTCATTATGCCAATGCTCTCTGGGCAACTTTCAGACAGTCCATTGTCATTCATGATATGATGGTGGCCCTCATTAGTGATGAGAGAACATTCCTCTTTTGTATTCTTGATTACACTCCAACTCAGCCCAGGGTCAGATAGCTTTATCCCACGCCATTATTACTCCTCCACCGCCACTGCAATTTCAACACTGACTTCCTGGCTTTTCTTATTGAAAATACATTATAATTGTCCGAAAGAGATTTGGGGTTTTCATGTGCTGCAGGATCAACCTGTAAAAAACAATCTTTTTCAGAATAATGGTTTTGACTTTTTCCATGAAAGCCTATTATTTTTGCGCCAATGTGGTGTTTCTTAAATTGCTTTTGTGTGGATATGAACAAAGAATAAATTGGATTCACACTTAAAGGATTCTATTTGAAGACTGAAATCAATGAACCATGTGGATCATATTAAGACATGTTTCTAATGTATTCTATACATGTTTTTCTTTTCTAGAACAATTCCCCTCGTAGTCATTCTTCTTCAGGTTAGAAGTAGAGTGTGCGATAGAGGAAGAGGAGAGTGGACACAGGAATCGAACTCCAGTCTCTAGGGTCGAGACCCAGATCTGTTGGCAGTGCCACAAGATCACAGACTCTGCACTCACGTGGTAGTCATTCTTCCACTGTGCTCCATAGTCAGGGCTGGTCTGTCCATTCAGCTCCTGGACCTTCGCTCTCCTCAGTGGGTTCTTCCCCTCTACAGAGCTGGGGTCACTGGGAGTGTAGGTCTTCTTCATGTTGGGGTTGTAGTCCACTATCTGGTTGGTGCTAAACAGACGTCTTCTAGGTGACATTTTGCTGTCCATTCCTATGGGTTTGTGAAAAGATCACAATCATTTGTATGCACAAATAAACGTTTCATGTCTGAATGAGTGATCATGTCTGACCAAGTGATCATTACCGTGTGAATTGGACCAACTAAACAAAAATGGAATTTGAACCAGTGGAAATGCAGAGATGATCTAAGACCTCTAGATTCTTACCCATGGCGTTTTGTTCTCTGGGGCCAGGGCTGCTTTCTGACATGGAGTCCAAATAGGAGTCAAACGGAGGGCCGGAGTGTATGTCCCTGTGCGTTCCCTGACCGTCAGAGAAGCCTGTAGTCGTCCCTGGGTCCTCCTCTTGGGAGTGGTAGAACACTGAGCTAGCTGACTCATTGGAATGCATCATACTGTAGCGCCTCCTTTTATCCTGGTGGAAGAGTTGAAAGGGAAATGTTTGAGTCCTGCGTATCTACAACACTTGAGAGACACTAATTGATAGTTGCTGACAAAGACATTCATTTCAAGATATTGCTTTTCGACACCTTTTCAGAGAGGATATTTAAGCCTTCAAAAAATAATCCACATCCTTCACTAGAATCACTTAACATAGAGAAGATCTATTGAATTTAAATAGAGGGGAACAGATGATGTGCTTGAGTCTCATTCAGGAGTGAGGAGACTCAATATCTTAATCACACTAAGAAATATGAATACATATTACATAGCCACTTTATGTCAAGGTGTAGGCCTACTTACAGATTTGGGATTGGGATGGTAGCGCGTGGTGTCGCACACCACGCTGTAGCCAATCAAACAGTCCCCAGGGAACAGGAATGTGGAGCCCACTGGGGAGAGCAACACCTCCTTGGTGTCAGGGAACAACCAGTCGATGGCTATGTCACTCAGCACTGGGGCCATGGTTTTCTTCAGCGACTTAATAATCTGGGAGTATATACAGACAGAGAGATGCAGTTGAAATAGAATAGAAACAGATCTATTGAAATTATTCTTATGATGTTCAGTGATCTGGGAGAGTACAGGCAGAGATGCAGATGACATTGTCTTCCTGACATTGTCAAGAACACCGCATTGTCTATTGAAATTATTATGAAATACCCTGTTACCCTCTGTCTGTACAATACAATTGGTTTTATGAAAACAAGACTAGAGTCTGTAAGCCTGTGAGAATGGAATAATAAAGGATCCTTTTAAAACATAAAGTATGCTGTGGAGCAGACTGATTCTAATGGGTGTTTTGCTCAGCAAAATGAATTGTTAATTGGTAACAGTGGCGAGCACTCTGTCTGAACAATTTGCATCCACTGCATAATGGCCATCCTCTATGACACTGAGAATAGCTGGTTGTCGCAAAGAGGACGATAAACATGTCATTGGAAATGAGGACCTTGGGCTGCAGTCTCTCCCCTTCTGCCAAGAACTCTGCCGTTCCTTTGGAAACAGCCGCCAGTCCTGTCACCAGTCTCCTGCAAGCACTCTGACCGATGCCGAAAGTGAAGCACCTGCCAAAACAAGATACACATCTAAGTGGCTTAGTGCCCTGGAAAGACCAGCAGCCTGTAAATGTCTGTAGGTATCTGAGTCTAATAAGCGTCAGACACCCTATCTCTCATAGACATGAATTCCCTCACGGAGACCTCTTTTGAGATGGTCCAGTAGCTCAGTGGTGGTGCTATATTACAAAACACCCCCCTCAAAGTTTGGGTTTTATAAGTAATGTAATTTGCTGCACATAGCAGCAGAGAACTAGATGATGCCACATTTAGTTTCTTCTCCGCAATGAGAAGTATGTAGCAAATGACAGAGCAGTGGAATAATTGAGTGTGTTGTCAGGCACCCTCAAGGCAGTCAATGAATGCATTGCGCCAAGAGTCGTTCACAATCTAGTCCGGTTGTGTCCACAACTAGAGCTCGTTTCAAATGTATCAAGAAGTATTAATCTTATTTGTATGCACACGTTTACAAGTCTCAGTCACAAATGACAGCTCCAATAAACCCCGTATGGTGAACAACATTGGTGCTTTCAAGACAACTGGAAACTCTGAAAAAACGAGGACGAATCATGACGTCAATGATCTTCAGGTCAGGGCTCTCGAAAGAGGTCCGGGTTCCCGACATGGAATTCTGAGTTGGATGACCGTTCAAAACAAATTTTCCCAGTCGGAGCTCGTTTGCTTCTGAGTTCCCAGTTTTCTTGAACACCCTGAAGTCGGAAACGAAAATGAGTCGAAAGATTCACTCTTTTGACTGAATGAGTCGAAAAGATCAGAGTCAGTAAAAATAGCAGAACTTCCCATCACTAGCCTGATGATGACCGAGAGTGAGACAGAGTGAGAAATGATCAGTCTCAGCTGATGATGGTCTATTTTCATCATCATGCCATGATTCCTTATCAGTTTTCCCATTAGGTTTGTCAATTTCACTTTACACATCATACTGAGTACAAATTAGAAATGTCAATCTCCGTCTCAACATCAGCAGATGCACCAGCGATGGCCCCTCTGCATATTTGGTGAGGGCAAATAGTGGGGATTAAAAAGGCAACCTTTAGCATAGCTACATGTCTGACGTGGGCTGTGTCCCATAGGGTCAAAAGTAGTGCACTATGTAGGGAATAGGGTGCCATTTGGGATGAGATTCATTAGTATTTTCTGTGTCACTGACCGGGGGTGTGATGATTTGTGAGTGTGGAGCGATAATGATTCTGGGCGCGCGGACGCATTGGTCGGACCCCTGTGTATCTAATCCAATCATCTGGGGTCATTCATCCTTTAAAAAGGTGAAGATTTAAAGTCAATTATATCAGTTGTAGTTCAGGAGAGGATGACTGCTGACTGAGATTGGAGAAGCAACAACCAAAGTGAAACAATATCCCATTCCCTGCAGACACTATTGTTTTATTGGCGGTCTTGGTCTATCAACAGCTGGTGTTTTGATTAATCAGGGGCATGTTCAGAGCATCTCCCCATGTTGAGACGTTGCAGTGTTTGAAAATATTACCATAATACCATATGACATTGTTGACACTGTGAGTTGCTTTGACTTTACCACACCCAATAGTGATGCGCGATTTGACTCAGAACCCGTAGTCCGCGCAGGGCAGGTTTAGGGACATTAAATATTGTGTGGATGAAGGGCGGGTGGGTGGTGTGCGGGTTGAATACAGAGAAAATAATACCTTAAAAAATTCATACATGTAGCCTATCATTCTTGTGCAATCTATAGGCTACATTGGCATTTTTCTTTCATTATTTTAAGCTATCTGACATCAGTGCATTAGCATAAACTTTATGGGCCAAACTGTATGCATGCCAAACAGCCTACACGCTGATCGACAAATGCTTTTGGATCGGGCAGTAAGTGTTAAAGTCTATCCATGGAGGCAAAAAGGACAATGTTGGAGTTTAAAGCTGCAATATGTAACTTTTTGGGCAACCTGACCAAATTCACATAAAAATAGATAACAGATCTGTCATTCTCATTGAAAGCTAGTCTAAGAAGCTGTAGATCTGTTCTATGTTATTTCTATGCTTCCGTTCTTAAATTTTGTTTTTGTATCTTTTACTTTCGGTTTTGTACACCAGCTTCAAACAGCTGAAAATACAATATTTTTGGTTATGGAAAATATATTTCACAGCGGTTTAGATGGTACAATGACTCTCTACACTATACTTGCTTGTTTTGTCACATAAACAGAAATTAGGCAAACTATTCGAATTTTAGCAACCAGGAAATGGCGGAGCGATTTCTGCATTGCGCATCTTTAATTCAATAAGAGAAAAGATGCGAAATGGAGAGTTGAAAATAAAGAGAAGGGAAGGCCAGAAAAGTAATGTTTGGAAACTGAACTCTGGACACTGGCATCATACCAATTGAATAGTCACAAGACTGACTTCAAATAGGCCTATGGCACCTCAAGGGAACTGTAGCCTACTGTTTAGATGGGTTAAATGGAAACTGAACTCTGGACACTGACTGTAGGTCTATAACCTCTTAATTAAGCATTTCTTGCAGTAATGTAGGCAACATTTTGACTCGGAACAGGAGTGGAGAAATATGATTTCTTTCTTTCAGCATCTTGAGAGAATGTGAATGTGCAGTTAGATACCATCTGTAGAAGTGCTCTCTTTACCAGCATCATAAAAGCTGATAGGCTATTTCAACCACATAAAATATACATCCAAGCCAAACTGAAATCTTAGCAGAAACATGTTGTGTCTTTTTCATAGCTTTCTATTTCCTTACAACCGGTCAAACAGATGTCATTTGGAAATTTTGCACAGAAAATATTTCCCTTTTTAATTTCTCCCCGGTCCCTAAACTTCTTTACTCCGAAAAAGAAGCAGGGAAAACTTTACCGATGTCAACTAGATTGAAGCATTAATTCTATCGATTTATGACATTATTCTGGTAAGCAAGGGTTTATTTAGTCTTCTAGGGCAACATATAATGACAGAAGAGAAGCTGTATGTATCTAATTATAGACAAGTTGACTAACAAATGTCAGAAATTATAAGCAGAAATATCTAAATGAGGCAAAACGGATTCCTGCACCGCCTGTCAAATCATTCCGGCGTCTCTGACTAGCCTAGAGCACATTTTCTATATTACCAGGTTAGGGTCGGGTGTGGGCCTCAGATTTTCACTTTATCACATACAGTGCCTTTGGAAAGTATTCAGACCCCTTGACTTTTTCCACATTTTGTTAGGTTACAGCCTTATTCTAAAATTGATTAAATAGTTTTTTCAATCTACACACAATACCCCTTAATGACAAAGCAAAAACTCCTGCGTTGTCTTGCCTGTGTGCTTAGGGTCATTGTCCTGTTGGAAGGTGAACCTTCACCCCAGTCTGAGGTCCTGAGCGCTATGGAGCAGGTTTTCATTAAGGATCTCTCTGTACTTTGCTCCGTTCATCTTTCCCTCGATCCTGACTAGTCTCCAAGTCCCTGCCGCTGAAAAACATCCCCACAGCATGATGCTGCCACCACCATGCTTCACTGTAGGGATGGTGCCAGGTTTCCTCCAGACGTGACGCTTGGCATTCAGGCCAAAGAGTTCAATCTTGGTTTCATCAGACCAGAGAATCTTGTTTCTCATGGTCTGAGAGTCTTTAGGTGCCTTTTGGCAAACTCCAAGCGGGCTGTCATGTGCCTTTTACTGAGGAGTGGCTTCTGTCTGTCCACTCTACCATAAAGGCCAGATTGGTGGAGTGCTGCAGAGATGTTTGTCCTTCTGGAAGGTTCTCCCATCTCCAAAGAGGAGCTCTAGAGCTCTGTCAGAGTGACCATCAGGTTCTTGGTCACCTCCCTGACCAAGGCCCTTCCCCCTGATTGCTCAGTTTGGCCGGGCGGACAGCTCTAGGATGAGTCTTGGTGGTTCCAAACGTCTTCCATTTAAGAATGATGGAGGCCAATGTGTTCTTGGGGACCTTCAATGCTGCAGAAATGTTTTGGTACCCTTCCCCAGATCTGTGCCTTGACACAATCCTGTCTCGGAGCTCTACGGACAATTCCTTCGACCTCATGGCATGGTTTTTGCTTGGACATGCACTATCAACTGTGGGACCTTATATAGACAGGTGTGTGCCTTTCCAAATTATGTCCAATCAATTGAATTTACCACAGGTGGACGCCAATCGAGTTGTAGAAACATCTCAAGGATGATCAATGGAAACAGGATGCACCTGAGCTCAATTTCGAGTCTCATAGCAAAGGGTCTGAATACCTATGTAAATAAGGTATTTCTTTTTTAATTTGTAATACATTTGCAAAAATTTCTAAAAGCCTGTTTTCGCTTTGTTATTATGGGGTATTGTGTGTAGATTGCTGAGGATTTTTTTACATTTCATCCATTTTAGAATAAGGCTGAAACGTAACAAAATGTGGGAAAAGTCAAGGGGTTTGAATACTTTCCGAGGGCACTGGATAGTCGGAAGGTTGCGGATGGGTTATTAGCAATTGCGGGCGGGTGAACAAACAGCTGACCCGCGCACCACTAATACCCAATGCTGAATGAGCTACAGGTTTTTGAAGTCACACCAAATAATATCAAGCACTGTGCGAACATAAGGTGCATATTTCCAAGCTTCATTTTAAAAGGATTACTGATCAATAACAACCCAGCTAGCACATCATGTTCTGAGAGCCATATGTTTCTTAGAGCTTGATGAGCGTGTGGATGTCATATGTTTATTTTGCATACAACCTTCACACAACCTTCTGGGAATGGTGCAGGATAGTTGCTTGGCTTTGAAAATTCTCAACACATTTAAGGACTTGACAAAAAACATACATTTGTTGGTATTTCATTACTGTAGCCCTTTGCTGCAGTCAATGACCAAAAGTGCCCTCTTTGGCGTCATGGGTGGAATGTTATTAATAGATACATTTTTTTAACTGACGAAAATCTGGTGTTTCTATATCAAACAGTTTTGTTATATATTTCAGTCTTCTGTGTTGTATATAAAGTGTAATATTGGGATGCAAATTGAATTTATAT